GTTGTTTGACAGGGACGCCGGGGGTGTCAGCATATCGTCTGCTGCGCGCAGGGCTGTCATCCCCAACAAAAAACAATACAACATGCACCTCGAGGCTAAATCTGGATCATGCGCGGCCGCCCCGCGATCACTGCCAAGTGGTGGCGTATGACCTGCACCTGCTGTGCGCAGGCCCACCAGACACAATGATTGGCATTAGTTCTCGAGAAGGGTGGTGGGGGTCGACATGTTTCCCGATGTGTGCTGTCACGTGCGCAGACGCACCTGACACACTCTGTACATGCCTCGGACGCGGCGCATCTGGCGCGGCTGGAGTAGGCGGCAGACATGGCGCACTCGGAGGCACGTGACGCATCTGGCGCACCAGGCGTGCCTGGCACGCTCGGGCCCCAGGGGTGCCTGGCGCGCCTGGCGCGCCTGGCACGCGTGGCGCACCTCGCCCCAGCGAGCATGGGGTCAGATTTGATTCCCAATGGCTGTCCATCCAAAGACGACCGCTGAACATGAACAGGCTCGGGTGTTGCTTATATCTTGGGAGGGCGGGTGGGAGTGAGCTAGACGGCTTGCTATCTAGGGGGTGTCTTGATCACTGTGCCCGATTAGTGTGCACCCCCTCCCCCAGGCGACCGGCGTCCAACCAGGAACCATGAGGACACCATGGCGACCCGCCCCCCACTATCTCTTTCAAAAACAATACAAACCACACCCTGCCTCCACATGTGGAGCATGCGCGGCCAACCCGATGTGGCCTACCCCCACCATCCCTGACAAAAAACAATACAAAGTACACTTCGGGGCAAAGTCTTCAGTCATGTTCGTGAGGCCCGCGAGCACTTTGTATTGTTTTGGCATGGACGCCAGGGGTGTCAGCATATTGCCTGCTGCGCGCAGGGCTGTCATCCCTGACAACAAACAATAGAACATCCACCTCGCGGCGAAATCTGGACCATGCGCGGCCATCCCGCGATCAGTGCGCAGGCCCACCAGAAGCAATGATGGGCATTGGTTTTCGACACAGATGGTGGGGGCCGACATGTTTCCAAATGTGTGCTGTCACGTGCGCGGGTGCACCTGACGCACTCTGCACGTGCCCCGAACGTGGCGCACCTGGCGCGGCTGGATTGTGCGGCACACCTGGCGCACTCGGAGCATGTTGCGCATCTGGCGCACCAGGCGTGCCTGGCACGTTCGGGCCCCAGGGGTTCCTGGCGCGCGTGGCGCGCCTGGCACGCGTGGCGCACCTCGCCCAAGCGTCGCGCACCTGGGGTCGGTTTTGGTCCCCAGTAGCTGTCCATCCGAAGACGACCGCTGAACATGCTCAGGCTCGGGTGTTACTTATGTGTTGGAAGGGCGGGTGGGAGTGAGCTAGACGGCTTGCGGGCGGGTGGGTAGCTTGATCACTGCTCCCTATTAATAAACACCCCTTCCCCCAGGCGACTGGTAGCCAACCAGGAAGCATGAGGGTCCCACCCCACCATCCCTAGTAAAAAAACCATACAAAACACACTTTGCCTCCAAATTCGGAGCATGCGCAACCAACCTGGTGCGGCCTCCCCTCACCATCCCTGTCAAAAACAATAAAGCGTACTCTTGGCGGCGGCGGCGGCGGTTGCGGCGGCGGCGGCGGCGGTGGCGGCGGCGGCGGCGTGGGCGGCGGCGGCTGCGGCGGCGGCGGCGGCGGTGGCGGCAGCGGCTGCGGCGATTTGGCAGCGGGGGCGGCGGCGGCGGCGGGCGGCGGCGGGCGGCGGCGGCGAGCGGCGCGGCGCCGGCGGCGGCGACGGCGGCGGCGCTGAATATGCTGAGGTTCGGGCCAGGCGGGTGGGAGTGAGCGAGACGGCCTGCGGTCGGGGAGGGAGTCTTGATCACTGTTCCCTATTAGTAAACACCCCCTCCCCCAGGCGACTGGGGGCCAACCAAGGTCCATGACACACCCCCCCACCATTCCTTGTAAAAAACAATGCAAACCACACTCTGCCTCCAAATTCGGAACATGCGCAGCCAACCCGAGCGGCCCCCCCACCATCCCTGACAAAAAACAATACATTGTACATTTGCCGGCGGTGGCGGCGGCTGCAGCGGCTGCGGCGGCGGCGGCGGCGGCTGCGGCGGCTGCGGCGGCGGCGGCGGCGGCGCGGCGGTGGCGGTAGCGGCGGCGGCTGCGGCGGCGGCGCGGTTTGGCAGCGGGGGGCGGCGGCAGTGGCGGCGGCGGCGGTTGCGGCGGCGGCGACGGTGGCGACAGCGGCGGCGGCGACGGCGGCGGCCGGCGGCGGCGGCGGCGGGCGGCGGCGGCGGGCGGCGGCGGCAGGCGGCGGCGGCAAGCAGCGGCGGCGGCGGCGGCGGCGGCGGCGGCGGAGGCGGCGGCGGCGGCGGCGGCAGCGGATTGGCCCCCAGTAGCTGCCCATCAAAAGACGACTGCTGAACATGCTCAGGCTCGGGCCAGACTCGGGTGCTACGTATGTGTTGGGGGAGCGGGTGGGAGTGAGCGAGACGGCTTGCGGGCGGGGAGGGGGTCTTGACCCCTCCCGCGACCCCCTCCCCTGGACCTGGACGGGGCGCCCCTCGAGCGGTCAGAGCATCCAAGAATATGGCCCAAGACGGCTCCAAGAGGACCTCACAAAGCCCAAAATGACTTCCAAGTCGGCCCAAGATAGCCCCAAGATGGCTCAATATGGTTCCTAAAACATTCCAAGAAGACCCAAGACCGCTCGAAGTGGCCACAAAGCCTCCCCAAGAGGCCGCCAACAGGCCTGCATCCTTCAAAAACCTTGGGAAATTCAATGGTTTGTGCCTTCTCGCCCTTTCGCTTCCGATGGCCTTCTGAAGCCTCCAGACAGCTCCAAGAGGGCCCACGAGGGCCCCAAGAGAGGACCGAGAAAGCCCCAAGACGGCCCCACGAACGCCCAAGAACGCTCCAAGAGCATGACCCTCATTAAGACGCATACTGCGTCGGCAGGAAACCGGCCCAGAAATTCCAGCAGGTGGGGACGCAGGCGCGGCGACCGGCGGCGGAACGGGAGGGAAAAATCGCCCTTTCGGCGCCAACCTCCAGCCGAACCACACTCGGCGGGGCCAGGAACGGAGGGGGGAGGGGGAGAGAGCGACGAAAGGGGGAGGGGGGAGAGAGCGAGAGCGAACGACTACCACAGGCTCACTGCAGCACCACGAGTAAACGATGGTGCGGCGAAGGAGGCCTGACTCATCAAGGCTCACTGAATCTGAGGCGCAGCTGATCCGAATCGAAGCGCCATGCAGTAGAGGAAGACCACTGGTGTGCGCTCACGAGGCTGCGCCACCTCCAGCCAAGCCAGCGCGTGCACATCGTATCCGACTCTCGCTGTCCGGGGGCCAAACGATGCAAAGAACTGACGGGGGCTGGTTGCAGACTGCTCTGCAGGGGGAACGACCACGAACTGCAGAAGGCTGGACCAGTCAATGCAGGGCCGCTCCCTGACGAAGCCAAACAACGGGTGTCACCGAATGCATGGCTGACGGCCGCGCGCGACCCACACTTCCAGCCGGTAGCCAGCGCGCGCACGTTGTCTCCGACTCACGCGGTTCGGGGGCACAACGATGCAAAGTACTGACGAGAGCTGGTGGCCCGGGCTGCTCTGAAGAGGCGACCACGCACTGCAGAAGGCTGAACCACTCAATGCAGGGCCGCACACTTGCAAAAGTGCGGCTGGTCCGCGTCAGAGCGCCGTCCGGTAGAGAAGACTACTGGTGCGCGCTCACGAGGCTGAGCCACCTCCAGCCTGCGCATCGTATCCGACTCACGCAGTGGGGTCATAACGATGTAAAGTACTGACGAGGCTGGTAGCGGGGGCTGCTCTGTGGCTGCGCCGAGAAGTGCGACGCGAACTTGGACCGCAGAAGGCTGAACCACTCGAGGCGGGGTCGCTCGCTTGACGAAGCCACTCACCATGTGCATGGAGGACAACCACAGCCAATCACCACCTCCACGCTGCCCATGCAGCAGCCGGATGCCTCCGCCGCCAGGGCATACAGGTGGCTGTCTGCTGTCGAGCAGCAGAGCTGCACTGTTCGCTAGCGGCGTGCTGACATACCACTGCGTCCTTGTAGCAGAACCGTGGTTGGGACGGCGATGAGGGACCGAAACTTCCTGGGCAGGTCTCAGGGCGGACACTCTTCAGCGTCCGATGCAGACTTCCCAATTGAACGGGGGGGGACGCAGTCGAAAGCCGCAGAGGCATTGCGAATGACGGAAGAGGAGGAGGAGGAGGAGGAGAAGGAGGAGAAGGAGGGGGCGCCGCCAAGGCTCGGGACGCGTAGACTGAAACACTCGAAGCGGGGCCGCTCGACGGAGCCAACCCTCATGTGAATGGAGGACGGCCACCTCCACTCAACACCACCGCGCAGTCCATGTAGAAGCCGTCTGCCTCTGACGCCAGGGCGCACAGGTGGCTGGAGGCTGCCAACCTGCTGGGCTGCGCCGGTCGCAGGCTGCTCGCTGACGTGCCAGGGCGACCTCTGTAGAACCGTTGGTCGTTCCTCTGCGTCTGATGCAATCTCTGTCGACGGAGGGGGGCGCAGCCGAAAGCCGCAGAGACGTTGCGAATGAGAAGAAGAGTAGTGGGGGCGCAGCCGAAACCCGCAGATCACGGATATCAATACACAGAGCATCCACGCACAGAACTTCACGATCGGCCTCTGGGGATGGGGGGAACCTGCTGCTGGAGCTTCGCACTCGCGGCCTGACCCCTTGCGGGGGGAGGAGGGAGGCGCGTGCGGAACTGGGATCAGGACAGGGATCCCGGCAGCGCGCCGGCACATGTGGACCACGCTGGAGAGGGTGGCACCACCGCCACCGCTGACCGACAGAAACGGGATGTAAGAGTATACCAGAGCCACAGAGGGCGGACCCGGGACGAGCGGCGGCCCCCCAGGGAGCCCGGCGCCAGGATGCAAGCCACAGGAGAGCCCGCGGGACACGCAGTCCGTTCCCACTGCAGCCGCTGAGCCCAGACTTCTGCAATGCACCTCTAGTCCAATCCAACGGTCCATTGTAGTTCAACCTCGGCCTCCTGCAGGGGGGGGGCGCAGCCGAAAGCCGCAGAACACAGGTACACGGTGGGGGGTGGAAAGCAGCAGGGACATCCCGGCAGTGCGCCGGCACGAGTGGGCCACTCTGGAGAGGGCGGCGCTGCTGCCGCCGCTGACCGACAGAAACGGGATGCAAGAGTACCCGAGCCACAGAGGGCGGGCCCGGGGCCAGCGGCGGCCCCCCAGGGAGCCTGGCGCCAGGATGCAAGCCACAGAAGGACCCGCGGGACACGCAGACCTTTCACACTGCCGCCGCTGAGTCCACACTTCTGCACTGTACCTCTTGTCCAACGGTCCATTGTTGTTCCCCCTCGCCCTCCTGCGGGGGGGGGGGCGCAGCCGAAAGCCGCAGAACACAGATTACACGGTGGGGGGTGGAAAGCAGCAGGGACACCCCGGCAGTGCGCCGGCACATGTGGACCCCGCTGGAGAGGGCGGTGCCACCACCGCCGCTGCCCGACAGAAACGGGATGCAAGAGTACCAGAGCCACAGAGGGCGGACCCGGGACCGGCGGCGGCCCCCCAGGGAGCCCGGCGCCACGACGCAGGCCACAGGAGAACCCGCGGGACGCGCAGTCCGTGCACACTGCAGTCCGTTCTCAGGGAGATGCTCGGCACGTCCGACAGCAGCTCGACAGAACCGAGAGAGATAGAGAAAGTGACCCCCAATCGCGCTGATGAGTACGGTGTACAACACGTAGTCAACAGAGATGGTGGATCTCAAAGTAGGATACCAGACTCTCTACGGCATAGCCACACCCACAGCACGCAGACAGAAGAGAAAAACACTGAAGTCGACGGTATAGCCACACGCGCAGCACGTAGACAACAGCCAAGAGGAAGAAATAGAAGTTCTGCACGAAACAGAAGTCGGGACACGTCGCGCACAGACAATATCCCTTCCGCAGGCCGCGTTTGGCAGGGCAGCGACGGGCCTGCTGCCAGTGACCACCCTCCACGCACCTGATCCCCGTGTGAGCGATGCCACGAGGGGGGCAGCAAGGCTACTGTGGGGAGACGGCCCACCACCGTTTTTGGCGCTTTTGGGGGCCCTGGTTGTTCGGGCGGCCCTTTGCCGCGTGGCAATCGCTGCTCACTCCGCCGCTCCGACCCGGGCGCAGCTGCCACGGCCGAGCCCAGTCGACGTCTAGGCTCAGCGCGTCGCTGACGACCCGTACGTCGCACTTGTGGCTGCGGAAGGATTCCTGGAAGAGGTGGCAGGTTTGCGGGTCGTGCCGAAGCGGGTCGAGCGCGCCCTTGCCGCCGGGGGCACGGACTGCCGCTTGGCGAAAGCGTGCCAGGTGCCAGTAAACATTGGCCCCAGTGCGACTTGGAGTCGTCTTATCGCGTCGCCGGGTGTCTCCCCGGGGAGGTCCCACTGGATGTTTTTGATTCCTGTTTTGTGCAGCTGTTGTCCCGTGTCGGGGCGCTTGGGCTCTGGCCATTGGCGCGGGTCGGGCCTTTGGTGCCGCCGTGAATCCTGGCCGCAGGTCTCCGGCCTCCTTGTCCTGGCTGGAGGGCTCGCGATCTGCTCGCGACAGCTCCGACTGCGCGCCCGGCGGGGTTTTGCAAGGGAATGCAGGCCGCATGGTTGGCCGCCGGGCGGGGGTCGGATCGCGCCCGGCGGCCAAGGCAGACGCAGTCTTGTGGCACGTGGGGAAGGGCCCCTTTCGCTGGCATTCGCCTTCGGGCCTGTGCCCGCCGTCGCTCCCCGGCGCGTCCTCTTTGGACAGCGCGGGGCTCTCTCCGGTCTCCGGGGCGCCGCTGGCTGCGCTGGGCGCGCGCGCGCTCGGCGGCGCAGCTTTCATAGCCGGGGCGCGAGCTGCTTTGCCAGCGGTGCCCTGGGCGGCCGGCGAGGGAGCCTGGGGTTCGCCATCCGTGAGAGGCTCACTGACAGGGGAAGGGGGGCGAATATTCGCGAAGTGGTTTCTCCCGACGAGCCAGCGGATGGCTTCGCTGTCCTGCGTCTGGATGGTTGCTCCGCGGCCCCCCTGCTGGGCGCGCGGCGCCCCCGGAGGACTGCTGCCGGACTGATTGTTCTGAGGGGGGTGCTCCGCGGCTTCCGCAGCCTCCGCCGCCTCCGCCGTGCCCCCCCTCTCTTTTCCTTTGCCCTGCTGGTGCTGCCGAAAGGGGGGGGGGGGGGGGGTAGCGTGAGCTGTGCACTGGTCACTGCAAGCTACCGCCTCTCGATTCCCCACTGGGACGTCATCGTCTGACAACGATGCGGGGGGTGGTATCATGACCTCTGCCTCATGTCCTCCGCCCTGCGGGGTGCTGTTGCTGCTGCTGCTGCCCTGCTGCTGCTGGCGCAGCTGCTGCTGGGTCCTGTTGCTGCTGCTGCAGCCGCTGCGGCAGTTGCTGCAGCTGTTGCTGCTGCCCTGCTGCTGCGGCTGCTGCTGCTGCTGCCCAGCTGCTGCGGCTGCAGAAACCCTGTTGCTGCTGCTGCTTCTCTGCTGGTGTCTGCATCTCTCCTGGACCTCCTCGACGACGACCTCCTCCGCCTCATCAACCGCCTCTCGATTCCCCTCTGGGGCGTCATCATCTGTCAACGGAGCGGGGGGTGGCGCGTTGCTGCTGCTGCTGCTATGTTCCGAGATGTCGTTGTGAGTATCGAGATCTCTCGCGTCGGCGCCAGGCGCCACGATCTGCGCCCAGGCAGCGGCAGGAACCTTCGGGGGCACAACGAGCCCGCGCGGGATGTCTGCGAACTCCAGGTCAGCCGAAGGCGACTTGGGCAGTTTGCCAGCGATGTCAGGCGCGACGTAGCCCACGGTCGCCAGCATGCCCACGCGGCCGTTCTTCAGCTCTGCCTGCCACTGGTGAACGATATTTTCCGCGCAGCCATCCGCTGCGCAACCAGCAGGGCCCCAAAGGCCCGAGGGGCCCTGAACGCCCAGCTCGCTCTCGAACTTGAAGGCGCGCAGCGGGGATCCAGTGCACAGCGCCCCATCGCCCTGGGCGGGGCCAATCCGGCAGTCCTGGAGGAACATGCCGAGGACCGCCAACCTGGCAAGGCGGCCGTTCGCAATGCCCGCCACGGGGGCGCTGGACGTCAACACCGCGAAGGCAAAGTTGCGCGCAGCAGCCGTGATGTCCGCGGACTGGTCCTCGAGGACAGCAGCCACAGCGAACACCTGCTCTTCTCGCACGCGCTGGCCAGGGTGACCTGAGTGATGATGTTGGGCTTCAGCTCCGCTGCTGCCATCTCGCTCAGCAGTGCCATTGCCTGCTGCCACTGCCAACGCCTGCTCTTCTCGCACTCGCTGGTCAGGGCGCTGCAGGGGATGATGCTGGGCCCCAGCTGCACGACCACCATCTCGCTCAGCAGCGCCTTTGTTTGCTGTCTCTGCCAACGCCTGTTCTTCTCGCACGCTCTGTTCAGGGCGCTGTAGGCGATGATGCTGGGCTCCAGCTGCGCGACCACCATCTCGCTCAGCAACGCCATTGCCTACTGTCACTGCCCGCGCCCGCCCTTCTCGCACCAGCTGTTCAGGATGTAGTCGGTGATGATGTTGGGCTCCACCTGCACGACCGCCATCTCGCTCAGCAGCGCCACTGTCTGCAACCACTGCCAACGACTCCTCTTCTCGCACGCGCTGTTCACAGCGACGTACGTGATGATGTTGGGATCCAGCTTCACGGCCACAATCTCGCTCAGCAGCGCCACAACCTGCTGCCGCTGCTGACGCCTGCTCTTCTCGCACGTGCTCTTCACAGTGCCGTAGGCGATGTTGGGCTCCAGCTTCGCGGCCACAATCTCGCTCAGCAGCGCCACAGCCTGCTGCCGCTTCTGCCGCCTGCTCTTTTCTCACGCGCTCGTCCCAGTGCCGTTGGCGATGGTGGTGGGCTCCAGCTTCGCGGCCACAATCTCGCCCAGCAGCGGCACTGTCTGCTGCCACTGCCGACGCCTGCTCTTCTCGCATGCGCTGTTCACCGTGCCAGAGTTGATGAACATGGGCTTCAGCTTCACGACCGGGGCCTCGATTAGCAGCGCCAGAATCTGTTGCCGCTGCCAACGCCTGCTCATCTCGCACGCGCTGTTCACAGTGCCGTACGTGATGATGTTGGGCTCCAGCTTCACGACCAGGATCTCGCTCACCAGCGCCACGGCCAGCTGCCACTGCCAACGCCTGCCCTTCTCGCGTCAGCTGTTCAGGATGACGTAGGAGATGATGCTGGGCGCCAGCTTCATGACCAGCGAAGCCGGCGGCAGCAGCGGCGGCCGCGGCGAGCGCCTCGGCGGGCAGGCCGCCGCCGCCAGCCGGCCCAGCCCTCGCGGCCGCACCGGCCCCGAAGGCGGCCGCGGCGGGGAGGCCGGCGGCGGGAGCGGCGGCACCAGCGGCCGCGGCGGCCGGCGGCAGCCGCCGCGCCCGCGCGGCCGCGGCCGCCGCGGCTGGCCCCAGAGCAGCAGCGCGCGCCACAGCGCCGGCGGCCGCGGCGGTCTCGCCGCGGCCGGCCGCCGCCACGGCCGCGGCGGCCGCTGCGGCGGCGGCGGCCGCGGCGCGGCGCCGCCGGCAACGCCGAGGCAGCCAGGGGCCACGCCGGGCCGCGGCGGCAGCAGGCCGGCCAGGCCGGCGGCGGCGGCGCAGCGGGCGGCGGCGCGCCGCTGCCGCCGCCGCCGCGCCGAGCGCGACTCCATGGCCGAGCGAGCGGGGGCGCGGAGGGGGGCGAACCCCTCGCGCGCCCCCGCGGGCGGGGAGGCCGAGGACCGAGGGGCGGAGCCCGGCCACGCCGGCCAGCCGCTGAGGCCCGCTTGAGCCAGAGCGGCTTGAGCCAGGCTTGAGCCAAAAGGGCTACGGATCTTGAGCTAGGGGGGTTACGGACTGGTGGGGATACGCGGAGCGTCAAGAATTTCAAAGAGAATCCAGCCGTGGCGACGAAGGCTCTCCAGGACGAGCAACGGCGCCGGTACCTGTTCCTCCGCTGACCGACGACGACGAGGACGACACGGACGGCCGCAGACCGACGACGACGGCATCGACGACGACGATGACGACGACGACGACGGCGTCGACGACGACTCGGACGGCCTCAGACCAACGGCGACTGCGACTGCGACGACGACAACAACGACGACAGCGACGCCCCCCCGAAACTTCCTCGGGCAGCGAGCCCATGGCAGCTGCGGCCGCCTCCCACCGAGCGGCGCCGCCGCCACCGTCCGAGTGCCTCCGGGGGCGGCGACGGCGACGTCGACGACGACGACGACGACGATGACGACGACGACGACGACGACGACGACGACGACGACAACGACGACGACGAACGACGACGAACGACAACGACGACGACGACGACGACAACGGACAACGACGACGACGACGTCGATCGACGTCGTCGACGACGACAAGGAAAGACGACGACGCCGACGACGACGACGACGACCGACGACCGACGACGGCGGCGGCAGCTGACGACGACGTGGACCACGACGGACGGTGGACGACGGACGACAAAGACAACGACGGCAACTGACCGCGACGACGACGACAACGACGACGACGACGCAGACTGGACGTTGACGACGACGGCGACGACGACGGCAGACGACGACGGACGACAACGACAACGACGGCAACCGGCCACGACGACGACGACAACGACGACGACAACGCAGACCGACATTGACGACGACGACGACGACGACAGACGACGACGGACGGCGACGACGACGACGACCGAAGACCGACGACCGTCGACCGACGAAGGCGGCGACGCTACGGCGACGGCGACGGTGACGACGACGACGACGACGACGACGACGACAACAACGACGACACGGACGGCGACGACGGGAACAACGACGACGACGACGACGACGACGACGACAGACGACCGACGACTCACGACGGCGGCGGCGGCGACGGCAGACAACGATAACAACAACAACAACAACAACAACAACAACAACAATCATTTAAGACTGGGGACACTCCGTTCTCACCAGTGCCAGGGTTTTCATAGGAGGCGGGCAATACCCCCACTTTGTGGGGGGGCCGGTTCAAGCTCTACCAAATTTCCAAACGACTCTTCGCCACCACCCACACCCAGCTTCCCGCCCTATGACGTTCGGACACTTCACTTCGTGGCATGCGGACGACCGTGGCTACTATTCAGGGCCCCGCGGCCGACGACGACGGCGTGCGCGCGCGAAGAAAAAACGAATGTGTCCCGCATGGTATTATTTGACAGGGATGATGGCCCTGGCAGGTGCGCAACCGTTGTCGCAGAAGTTCGAAAAAGTTGCTCGCAAAAGCCCGTTTGACAGAAATGTTTAAAAAGTGTTGGGTTTCCTACGAATCCGCAAGAGCGCGCGGGATGAGATTTTGACATTTTTTTGTTGAAAAACCATTGGTTTTTTGATGTTTTTATGTTAAAATCGCTCCGAACACTAAGCTTTTGGAAGGATTTCGTCTTGCGCGCGCGAATGTCCACTTTACCTTATTTTTTGCAAGGGATTCTTGAAATTTGATTATATTAGAACAAGAAATGTCATTTTATAGTGTTTTTTGCAAGGGAAAGCGGATTACAACAAAACAACCGGATCTGATCACATCGTTTTACCTGAGGCTTCCTCACGAAAATGATGAAAATGTAGCTGCGGCCTAGGCGGCGCAGGGGGGGCGCGCACCAGGGGGCCCAACAATAATTATTCTTTAGAATAAATAATGTTCAACAACAACAACAACAACAACAACAACAACAACAACAACAACAAGAACAACAACGGCGACCGGGCACGACGACGACGACGGACGACTGACGACAACAACCACAACGGCGACCGGCCACGCCGACGACGACAACGACGACGACGGTAACGACGACGACGACAACGAGAACGACGACGACGACACAGACGCCGACGACGACGACGACGACGACGACGGCGACCGACGTCGACGACGACGACGACGACGACAACGACGACGACGACGACAACGTCCACCGGCCACGACAACGACGACGACGACGACGACGACGACGACGACGGACGACGACGGACGGCGTTAACGACAATCGAAGACCGACGACCGACGACAAACGACAGCGCCGACGGCGACGGCGACAGCGACGGCGACGGCGACGGGAACGGCGACGGGGACGACGACGACGACGACGACGACGACGACGACGACGACGACGACGGCGACGACGACGACGGCGACGGCGACGATGACGACGACGACGGGCGATGACGACGATGACGACGATGACGACGGCGGCCGACGAGGAGGAGGAGCAGCAGGAGAAGGGGGAGGAGAGGGAGGAGGAGGAGGAGGAGGAGGAGGAGGAGGAGGAGGAGGAGGAGGAGGAGGAGGAAGGGTGAGGAGGAGGAGGAGGAGGAGGAGGACAAGGACGAGGAGAAGGAAGAAGGGGGATGAGAAGGAGGGGGAGGAGGAGTGAAGCTGGAGGAGGAGGAGCTGGAGGAGCGTTAAAAGGACAAGGCGTCTGGCCCTCCCCTCCGAAGCCCTTCTTTGTCTGGCCCACTGCGCGGGGTGATGGTTGGCCCGAGGCTGGGCCTGCGCGCAGCCCTCGGCTCGGCCGAGCTCGCCACGCTCACGGGCGGCGTGTTCACCTCGGGGAGGAAGACGACGACGACGGCGACCGACGACGACGACGACGACGACGACGACGACGACGACGACGACGACGACGACGGCGGCGGCGGCGGCGGCGGCGGCGGCGGCGGCGGCGACAGCGGCGCGGCGGCGACGGCGACGGCGACGGCGACGGCGACGGCGACGGCGGCGGCGGCGACGGCGACGGCGACGGCGACGGCGACGGCGGCGGCGGCGGCGGCAGCGGCAGCGGCAGTGGAAGCAGCGACGAAGGATAACGACAACAACCATGACTACGTTGACGACGCCTACAACGATGAAGGCGCCGACGGTGGCGGCGACCACGACGGCGGCAGCGGCGACGGCGATGGCGTTGATGGTGGCGACGACGAACCCAGGAGGGGTGGGGGAGGGAGTGCTCGAGGGGTCAGAGGTCGAGGAGGAGGTGATTGGGGGGGGAGAGCAGGAACAATTACCATCGAATCGGAATGCGCGTTGGATCGGCATGCATCAGCACGGAGTCGAATTCGAACGGGGTCGGCCTCGCCAGGCTGCACACCAACGCCCTGCGACCCTCGAGCCGCATCGGATCCACGGAACACCGGGCTCGAATCGGATCGGGTCGGCCAGAATCGGCACCGGATCGGATAGATCGGATCGAGATGGACCCCGGATAGGGGGGACGAGAGGACTACAACAGGGCTAGGACCGGGATAAATCGCTCCAGAGCGTTCCGGAGCGCTCTCAGAGCGTTCCGGAACGCTCTGGAGCGGCCGCGGCGCCCAATAAATCCTCCAAACCCGCCGATTCTCAGAGATTTCGAGTTATCCCGATCCGATTTTGTCCCGATCTTCGCGTCGTTGTAAGGACGCGTAGGAGGGGAACCTCCGGAAGGGAAAGGTGGCTCTCGCCTTAGCGCCGCGCGCATTCGTCTTTACAGTTTCGGCATGCTCAACACGTCGTATGGCTAAAGTGCCAGGAACCGTATTTGGCACGAATTCTGATTGTTAGGATGCGACAATCACGTTTACTCGCGGCGCTGAAATCAAAATTCGCCGGCCCAACGGGCCAAAGGCGTGCCAAGATCTCCCGTAACTGCTTAACAATATTTCTAATTCGCGCGCGCGGGGCGGCCCCTGGGGGCCTCCGGACGAAAGTACCCCGGCTGACCCCCGGCCGGGTCCTGGGCGATCCCCAGGGGGGAGGCTATTTTTCGCCACCCCTCACGACGATCGTGGCCTCCGAGGGGGTGGCTGCAATCGACTTCCCCCCCTCCCGACCCAAGGGGCCCCCAAGACCCCCCAAGAGGCCCCAGGGGAGCCCAAGACGCCGCCAAGGAGCCCCAAGACGCTCCCAAGAAGCCCCCAAGAGGCCCCCAAGACGGCCCCAAGAGGCCCCAAATAGCGCTCCAGGGCCGGCAGAATGATCGAAGCGCTTAAATAACGGTGTTCTGGCACTGTTTGAGATTATCAGGGCGAAGCTGTCACGTCGATTCGCTGCGATGAAATCCCAGGAGTGGTTTTTCGGCACGGCTACAGTTTCTCAGACGGTTGCGCCTTGGGTTTGCACTAGTCCTCCTCGTCCTCGTCCTCGTCCTCCTTCTCCTACTCCTCCTCCTAATCCTCCTCCTCCTCCTCCTCCTCCTCCTCCTCCTCCTCCTCATCATCATCATCATCATCATCATCATCACCACCACCACTACTATCATCGTGATCATCACCATCATCACCCATCGTCACAACCACCCCGTATCATGACCCCCGCATCAACACTGTCCGTGTTCGTCCACCCGCCTGCACAACCACCTCCCCATGTGCTATGTATCCACCTTGCGTCTCTGATTTGTCAGCCAAGGCAAGTCGATGTTCGAAAGCGGCAGCGAATTGCAAGCGAACGCCGACAGACGAGCGGGCGGCGGGAGCACCCGACAACTGGCTGAGGGGTGCCGCGGCCCGAGATCCTTCACCCACCCTTTTCTCCTTTCCCCTCCGCCTACCCCTTCGTTTCCTCCCCCTGCTCCTCCTCCTCCTCCCCTCCTCCTCCTCCTCCTCCTCCTCCTCCTCCCCCTCCTCTCCACCTCCTCCTCATAGTATCCCTCCTCCTCATATATTCC